TCTATGGCACAAGAACTGATTGGTAGTTTATTAACACAACCTGTGATCTTTTCTTCATCAATTAGCCTGAACTTAAGAAGAATATTTTAAAATGAAAAACCTACAGTCAATGTAATACTTAATGGCAAAAAGGGAAAACTTTCTTTTGAGATCAGGAACAAGAGGATGCCCACCACACCAACTCTATTTAGCATTAGAGGTTTGAGCTAGGGCACTAAGACACTAGGAAATAAAAGGGACCTAGGCTGGAAATGTACAAGTGAAACTATCATTATTCATAACTGACATGATAATATATACAGAAAACCCCAAAGACTCCATTAAAAGTTACTAGAAACAACACATGAATACAGCAAAGTAGGGGGTTACTCAATCAACACACAATTGATTACATTTTTAATTGTAATGAGTGAGAAGAAAAATAAGAAGATAATTCCATTCATAGTGGCACCAAAAATAATCAGATATGTAGGAATTAACCAAGAAGGTAAAGGACTTAAATAAAAGAAAATTACAAGATATTATTAAAGGATGTAGATCATGACATATGGGGGTACAAAGACATTCTGTGCTCTTGGATGGAAAGAATCAAAGTAGTCAACATGACTATTCTACCTTAGTAAATTATGTAAATTAATGCAATTGCCACCAAAAAGCTAATAATATTCTTCAAAGAATCGAATAAAAATACTAAAACTTAAATGGAACCATAAAAGACCTTGAATAACAACAGTAATCCTGAGAAAACTGGAAACATCATGTTTCCTGAGTTCACATTGTAAAGCCAGAGTAATTAAAACATGGTACTACTGGTAAAAGAAAAAGACAGAAGAATCAATGAAACAAAACTTAAAGCCCAGAAACAAATCCACATATATATGAATACTTAATTCATGATAAAGTAGTCGTCGTGACTGCACAATAGAAAAGGGCAGTCTCTTTAACAAGTGGTGCTTGGAAAACTGAATGTTCACCTGTTAAAAAAAAGGAAGGTCACTCTAACTCCATGCACAAAAATAAATTTCAAATTAATTAAATACTTTGATCTAAGATTTACAAAATAAAAAATATAGAAAAAACCACGAGTGACATCAAGATGTCTTGATTTCATGACAAAAAGGTTTCTAGAGACTCAAACCCTATGGCAATAAAATACAAATAATTCATTGTAATCACATCAAATTAAATAGCTTTTACACAGTGAGAGAAAATACAAGTCTATATAAAAATATATAAAAAGACATCCCACTGAATGGTAGAAAATATTCACATTACACAATTGACAAGAGGTTAAATACAAGATATACAAACACTTAGTGAATTTAATAATAGCTCACTAAATAACCAATAAATAAATGGGCAGCAGATCTGAGCAGTTAGCCAAAGAAAATATCCAGATCAATAGATACATGAAAAAATGTACATTACTGCTTTTAATAAAGGAGATGCAGCTCAGAACACAATGAGAGGTGTTATGAAAATGAAAATGGAACATTAAATAGACCACATACTGGAAAGGATGCAGAGAAAGATGATCCCTATTACAATGTTGGTGAGAATGCACTGTTGGTGCAGCCATTTTGGAAAGAACTTCTAGGTTTTTACTTAAATAACACAAAAACACTAACTCAAAGAGAAACCTGCACTCTTATGTTTATTACACATTATTTACAATAGCCAAACTATGGAAACAACAGGTGAATGGATCAAGGCATGGTATATATACATGCAGGGATACTATTCAGCAATCAAAAAAGATAAACTCATACCATTTGTAGCAAAATGGCTGGAGCTGGAAAGGGCTTATGCCAAGTGAAATGAACCAGGGGAAAGATAAATACTGGATGATTTCACTATATGTGGAATAAAGAGAAACCAAAGGGTCAACCTTTAAAATCAATCTTTGAAAGTTGACTATAGAATCTGAGACATTCAGGAGGGGAGAAGAAGGTAAAGTAAAAGAGGGAGGGAGACTATGGTGGAAGACTAGGGGTGTTTTGGTGATGGGTGAGCTATGGTGACCACACATGATAGGAGAAATCCCACACTATCAAAAATTTAGTAAGGATATAAAACAATGGTATTTCTCTAAAAAACAACAAAAGAAAAATGGAAATACCATTGACAGCAATCCCACTCTCTTGGACATCTAGCTGAAGAGCATGAAAGCATCAACTCAAAAGTTTTATGCTCTAAAATGCTTATTGTAACACTATTTACAATAGCTTGGACATGCAAAGAACTTAAGTGTGCAGTGATGGAGAACTGGATTAAGCTGACACAGTATAGTCATACAATAAAGTACTAAATATTATATTAAGCTTAAAGAAGAAATGTTGCATTTATAGCAAAATGGAAGGTGTTTGGGGAATTATGTGCAGTAAAGGAAGTCAGAATGACAAAGACAAACATTAAATGCTCACATAGCAGATGATTCACTAAAGCAAAATACTTCTAAAACCTAGTGGATACTAATAACATGAGGGTTTTGAGGTAAAATGGTGGGGGAGAAGGGCCCAAGGATTTCAAAGATGGTGATGAACAAAGAAAACATATTTTTAATAGGAGCTATAAGTTCTTCCTTGTTGGAGTCCAGCTCCAACTATTGAGGTGTCTGGAGGCAGCACAGCAGGACCCTAAGGTGGGAAGGCGTGGGAAAGCGTCGTTCAGTGGAGATTCCTAAAAAAGGGGAGAAGGAGAAAAAGGGAAAAGGGGAGCGAGGAAGACACAGGAGTCGGAGTTGGGTGCAAATTTTCCTGCTCATCTTTATTTATACTGTGTAGCAAGATTTAGTTACAATAATGCATCAGGTAAGTTAGTAAGAAATCGGCATAAAAGGTTTAAAGGAAGAGGGGAACAATGCATCCTCTTCCTGCTACTTTATGGCACACTATACTATACAGCTTTGTGATGGCTTTCATGTATACAGATGTTTAACTATGACTTTAAAGGATCAGAGTCTGGGAAAGGGTGAGCTGTTAGCAAAGGATTTAGGAGTCCTAGGGAAGGAATAAATTGTGTTAGCA